CCTTATAGACACAGGTTACGAGTAAGTATTATGCAAAGAATTTTTACTAGTTTGTGACTCAACTTTCCTTTTAAATAAAAACAATGTTTTGGATAAAGGATCTTTATCAAATGTAGCACAGGCTGGTCTCAAACTTAAAGCATTTCTCTTGCCTCAGCCTCTTAGAAGAGTGTTGGGATTATAGGGATGAGTGTCGTATCCTCCTGGCCTTTTGGAGGTAGTGATGAGGAAGGGTGTGGGAAAAGATCTTATGTAGTCCAGGCTAGCCTTGTTAGGTAGCCAAAATTGACCTTGAGTTCTTGATGGCCTAGTCCTTCTTTCTACGTCCTAGAATTGTCTAATTTAGGTTAGACAATTTAGGTTAATCCTGCTTGCTCCTATGCTCCCTCTGCCATAGCCTGGTGATTAGCTATAGGGCATTGTTTCATCTTTGGTATGGTAATTTTTCACCTGCCTGGGAGGAAATCCTATGCAGCAGCCAGATCCCCCCCCTGCCTGGGAGGAAATTCCTATGCAGCAGCCAGATTCCCCCCTGCCTGGGAGGTAATCATTTTGCAGCAGCCAAAGTCTATTAATTTTTGCAAAAGCTGAATAAAGGGGCATTCGGCTGATCTCCTTTCAAATGACCATGGTCTCTTGTGTGTTTCTTTCAATCTCCAGGCCTTTGCCTAAACTCGCATAAGGTACAGTTGCGCGCGAACTGTACTGAGAGGGTAACACAGAATTGGGTGTTACAGGCACCATGTATCTGCCACTGTGTATCCTTTGAACTATATGTCCCTAATCCTCCATCATCCTACAGATTAATTTTTCTTAAATGGTCCTGGAGATCCAGCACAGAGCATTTCCCTTCTAGTTTACTAATCAACACATCCATCTCCCATGTGTGTGTTTGGTTTTTTTTAAAACTAATCTTTTTTTGTAGTTTCTATATTTTTAGAAATTTTAAGTTTGGACACTACAGAAAAATACTACGGTAAGAAAAAATAAAACAAAAATACAAGTTAGGCATGGTGGCATTTACCTTTAATCCCAGCTTCTGGGAGGCAGAGGCAAGAGTATTTCTGTGAGTTCGAGGCCAGCCTGGTCTACCTACATCATCAGTTCTAGGCCAGCTAGTGTGACACACTGAGACTCCCTCTTTCTCTGTCTCTCTCCCATTCACACACACACATGCACAAACACATAAACTCAAAAACACACATGCTAAATACAGTGGTGAACACAAAGTTGAACTGTGTTGAGGGCTCAAATTTCTCAGGCTTTAGTTTTCTTATCTAAAAAAAAAAGGAGAGCAGTGAACGACCAAAGTCTGTTCTCTTTCTAGAAGCCTAAATACTAGGCTTCCTGAATTAGGAAAAGAAGATCACGCAATCCTGCAAGCTGTCAACTTTTAACAAGACAAATATTAACCTCTTGTAATATACTGAGGGACAGTCACAACAAAGAATGGAGGTACTCACGGATTGACCTGTGCTTGTGGAAGTAGACTTACCTTGTCTGATGCATAGACAGCATCAAACAGTCCCAGAAGGGTGACAGAGATTCCTACAGCTGGGCCATTTACTACTGCAACCAGAGGCTTGGGAAAGTCTATAAAAGAGTTTACAAATTCCCTAAAGAAATGGAAATAGAAAATCATTAAATATCCCAAAGTGGCACCACTAACTATAGAAAGAAATGTATAAATTTAATATAATATCATTCTATAGGGCCACCTCCCCTGATTGGCCCAGGATCCCTATAAATGGCACCTAATGGAATATCAGAAAATGACTCCTACAGGTTAAGGCCCGTTCACATCTTGGGCACTGAATTTAGGATTGTGGGCCAGCTGTGACCTGAGACATAATGGTGGGTGACTACATGGATAACTGCATATCACAGCACAGGGGGACTGAGAGACTTGGTAGAACTGGGATAGGAAGGTGAAGCCTCAGACCTGCTTCAATAGCTTTCAAGACTACATCCAGTGCACAGCCAGCATCTGCAGGCACTGTCTATTCACCCTGCTGCGTGGGAATTCAGACTCCCTCTGCATCTTCCTAACCTTAAACTTTCCAATCAACCTCATGTAGAAGGCAGGATAGAGATGGGGGAATCTATGGGGAATCATGATTAAGTGCATCATTTTAAGAACACAGACCAGTGGTCATTTTACTGAGGTGTTGGGAGGGAGAGGAGATGACTCACTGGTTAAAGCATTTGCCACATAAGTGTGAAGACTGGGGTAGAGTTTGAATTTCCAGAATCCCCATAAATTCTGGGTAGGTGTGGAGGCCTACTTGTAATTGGCCTCAGAATAGGAACCTAGAGCAAGCATATGAGTGAGCTCTGGGTTTGAGAGACCTTGTTTCAGTGAACAAAATGAAAGAGTACGCTGGCTAGGTGTAAGTCAACTTGACACAAACTAGAGCCATTTGGGAAAAGAGACTCTCAGTGGAGAAAGTGCTTCCATAATATTGGGCTTAGGCAAGTCTGTGGTGCATTTTCTCAATTAGTGACTGAGGTAGCGGGAGCCCAGACCATTGAGACTGATTCCACCCCTAGACTGGCAGTCCTACAAGTTATAAGAAAGCAGGCTGAGCAAGCCAGGAGGGAGCAAGCCAGTGAGCAGTACTCCCCAATGGTCTTTGGATTGGTTCCTGCCTTCAGGTTCCTGCACTTTCCTTTGATGATGAACCATCGGGTGCAAATATAAAAGGAATTTCCTCTCCAAGCGTTTTTGGTCCTAGTATTTTATCAGAGCAACAGAAATCGGAACTATGACCAAAACCAATGAAGAAAGTATCTGACATCAGCCTCAGACTCCATATGCACATGTATGCACTTGTACACACCTATGCTCACCAGAAAGACACATGAAGCTGGGGAAAAAAAGAATTAACCCTCTAGGATCAAACAAAGGTCACTCTTACCTCAGTACCACAGCACCCTTTTCAGCTGCCTCCTCCATTCCACCAGTGGCACTAGTGAAGTTAGTTAGGTCATTCCCGCTGCAGTAATAGTCACCAGTTCCTGGGAACAGTCAATCAACAGAGCCACAATTTTTTCACGTACCAACTCATTCTAGAGTTACATGTAGGCTGTGCGCAGGGCTCAGCCAGTCACTAACAGAACATGAGTGAACCTCATTCACACAGTTGGGACTAGCAAGACATGGGTGTTTAAGAACCTAAGTAAATGCAGATGGTGTGACAGGAACATGACAGATGGCCATGTAGTATGGAGCAGGTTTAGTCTATTGCGGTGTTTAGGGTGGAGCTCACACAGGAAGAGGCAGCCGGACTGAGATCTGAACAACAGGCAAGACTAGCAGAGACGGAACAGTGCACATGAGATTCTGTGTCTGTGGTCTCTGCGGTCTACACAACAACCCAAAAGAAGAGACCCCAAGGCTGAATCAGAGAAAGAACAGGGTGCAGGGGGGCTGCTGTAGTCAAGATGAGTGGACAGACTGTGTGGGACTGTCTAGATTACAATAAGAACCATTGTCTCTATATTAAGAGTCACTGAAGTTGTGTGATTATTTAAGTATTGTCTGTCTATAATGAAATGGTTTCTTCTTAATGACTTTTGTTTTGAGACAGGATCTGAAGTAGCCCAGGTTGGCTTCAAATTCCCCATGTAGCTGAGGATGACCCTGAGCTGCTGATTTCCTGCCCCACCCAACCAATTGATTGCCAGTATTGAAGTCCTGTGTTATAATACCATGCTGGGGATCAAAGTCAAGGATTCCTAAATGATAGGCAAGCACTCTATCTCAGGCTACTTCCCTAGCACCCTTAAATAGTTTTGATAACTGTAAATATTGAAGTGATCCCAGGCCAAAAGAAGATACGATGGTTCCCATTTATGTGCGTAGGATACATTCCTGATGGTCCACAAATCCCTGAAACATGGGCATAGTATCAGGCTCTCCAATATGTCTTGTATATTTCCTTTCCAGTTGATCCCCCATACCCTCAGATTTTACATCTATGGATTCAACCAGCAGAAAATACTTAAAGACCAAAAAAGTCATCCATAATAAATATAAGTAGACTTTATCCTTGTGACTATTCTTTTCTAAACAATGTAATGATTACTGACATAGCATCATTCTCTCTTAGGCATTATGACACCAAGAGGGAATTCAAGAGCCTTGGGATGTGTGGGTCTTCTATGCAAATACAGTATGATTTTACACAGGGAACATGAGTGTGAAAAATACTGTATTGATGGGAGTCATGGAACTAGTTCCCAGAGGGTGCTTAGGGTGACTGAACGTGCATACCTGTGAGGTATTTCAACATATAGATTAGGTAAGATATTTATAGTGACAAACTTTAATAATAATAATTTATTATAAAATGAGTTATTTAGAACATACTGTCAATTTTCTAGAAACTCCTACTTATTTCTAGACCCAGGGTGATAGCACATAACTCAAATTTTGGGAGGCAAAACCCCTGAAAGGAGCATTCAGTTAAGAGGGGCTACTGTACAGACGCCTCAGAATGCTCCAGATGCTCTTTCTACCCTGCCATCCCAGCTGCTGGAGACAGTCATATCCAGACTCCACCAGCCAACAGTGTGGAGCTTCTCTCCAGTCCTAGAGGACTTATGTAAATTGAACTGAGCAATATGCACTCTTATGTTTCATGAACTTCACTAAGTCATTCTGTAAGGAACATCCATATAACTGCATGTATCAAGAATTTGTCTTTTTTATTGTCGAGCAGAATTCTACAGTTAAAAGTCAAGTTGTTTGTGGACAAATGAATTGTTTTCTGCTGTGGCTCTTGTGAGTCAGACAGCATGAGCTTTACTATGTTAGGTTGGGATTGACGACTTATCAGGAGTAATTATCAAAGAGTGGTTATAACATGTGCACGATAACATGGTCCATTTATAAATCAATCCACTGGAGCGCTGGGAAAGACCTTCAGTCAGCATCAGTTCTCTCCCTAGAGACTCCCTAAAAAAGAAAGTGAAGGAGTCCATGAAAATGGTCTTACCTGTGAAAACGGTTATGGCTGAGTTGTCTGTGCTGGCGTTTTTAAGTGCAAGCATAATCTCCTGATACATCTATGTGAACAGAAAGATGGGGAAGGGAACAGTAAAAATGAGATCCATCGTCCAGTGACTGAGCCACTGTATCTGTCTGCAAGCTTTCTTTCAACCCAGTGCCAACATAATTGTTTTAAAGACTTACTTATTTCAGTTTATATGCGTGAGTGTTTTGCCTTGTTTATGTTTGTGCACTGAATCGGACCTGGTGCATTTGGAGGTCTGAAGGGGGTGTCAGGTCTGCTGTGACTGAAGGGGCAGATGATTGTAAAGCACCCTGTGTGTGGCTGGGAAACTTAGGAGACACGAGTGCTCTTAAGCACTGAGCCATCTCTCAAGCCCCAATAATTGTCTTTTGATGACGAAAAAAGAGCTGCCTGCGAGGATTTCTGCTCCTCTGACAACAGCTGGGTGCACATGATGCACAGGTGCAGGGGCAGATGCACCAAATAACCACTTTGTCCAAAGGTGATCAAGAGAGACATAGTTCTTTATTTTTGCATATGAACAGGGATGCTCCAACAGGGATTAGCAAGTGAGGGGCATGCAGTAGCAGGTAACAAACAGCTTGCTAGAACTGCTGAGGTTGCTACAGCAGGTGAGAGGAAAGGTGGCTGAGAAAACTGTCCCTGAAACAGCACCTCTACTGTCATTTCGAGGAAGGGCAAGTGTCCTGGGCAGTCTGGGAAGCCAAAACTAACGCACAGGCTGGATTTCTGAGACTCTCTGTGCACTGGCCCTGAACATCTCTGAAAATCTTGCTGTAGTTTTAATGTGTTTCTAAATTGGTATAGATTTTATTAAAACTCTACCAAAAATTGGTATAGATCTTATTAAAGATTCAATGTGGGAAAGAGTTATGAGGAGGGTAGGTGTTTCTAATGACACCGGAAAAATAGAAGCATGTACTTAATACGTGAATAATGATGAGGCCATTTCTCTTAAGGCAGGGAACAGAAAATACCTGAGAATTACAGCATCCAAGGTTACTAGGAAGAGCCGGGGCCAGGAAAGAGATGGATTAATTTAGATTCTCCTGTTTACCAGCTATAAGAACTTACCAAGTTCCTTTTCATCCTGATCAACTAGTTTATTAAATAAGTGTGTCACGGTCCTCTGTTCAGAAAAGTCCTGAGTCTTGTTTCAATGTGTAGCTGTCATACCTGCTTACGGAAGTAATTCAGACAAGCAAATACAGAGGTCTCAAAATTAAGTGCCTTAAAAACCAGAAGGTTCAGAGGCCTGTCAGACAAGAGCCTTAAACCTTCAAATGAGCCTGCTGCCCCATACTGCAGATGGCAGCCTTGACCTCCAAGCATGTGATAAACCCCTGTAATAAGGGGGAGGGGCTCCAGTGACTGACTTATTATCAGTGTAGTTCTGGGGGAAATTCAAATATACCCTGTGAAGCAGCTCATTCAACAGGGCTATTACTGCTCTGCTGAGGACGGAGTCTCTCTCTGCAATTCCTTTCACGTGTACACAAGAATGGTCCACAGGTGTGGAAAGACTCAGGATTTATGATCCCCTTTGGGGTCTCTGCACATCTCTATCCATGCTCTTTCATTTAGACCGATTTAACTGATTTGTGCTTTCATTCATGCAAAGCTTCACCGCCTTCTAGATATGTAGAACCTATTAGAAACTCCCCAGTTCTAAACAATACCATCTCTGCTAACTTAAGCCAAATTCTCTAATCTTCTACAAAAATAGGAATAGTGCTGAAATTCTATAGTTGCATGAAAGAATGAAATAGAGAAATGAAAAATGTGCCTGTGCCCTGGCAGGAGCATCACCTGTACAGTTATGGCGTTCTTTTTGGAGGGCCGATTGAACGTGATCTTCGTGATGCCATCTCCAGAGGTTACCACAATGTCCTTAGACTTCTGGACTTTCTCATCGGCTCCACTTTTTCCCTGGCTAGAGGCTTCAGATGAGGGACTCAAACTGGACACCAGATCCACGTAGTTCTGCCTGGCAGTTTCCTAAAGAATAGACGACCAAGACCTTAAGCCTTTAAAATAAGCAACTTGAGAAACATACAATGCTAATAAACACCACTATGTGATGAAGAGCAGAGTCTTTGATTCAACAGAGGTGCATTGCAACTTCCAAGGTTGGGGGAGAGGAGACCCATATGTGCAATTCCAGCTACTGGGAGGCTGAGGCAGGCAGATTTTTGAGTTCAAGTCCAATCTAGACTGCAGTAGTTAAAGAATCCAAGAATAAGAATATAGAAATGTAAATACCAGAAATAAGTATATGTAAATAAAAAATACAAGTTGTCAGTCTAGGAGAATGAGAGAAAGCTGTCAGCAGCTTTGCTGGCAGCTTAAGAATTAACTATTACCAGTGGTTGCTTCGTTTATACCCACAACTCTATCAGCGAGGCTGAAGTGGCCCTCTGCAAACTGAGCATCGCTCCGTGAACTGAGGGTCAGCTTTTAGATAATCCCCTGCCCACTCATGACCGGCAATTGATGTGAGCTGAGTTAACTTTTAGATGATGGGATGTACATGACTTTTTGACTTTTTGGTTGTGCATTTTCTCACATCCTTCCCTGCCATGAGAACTGGCAGTATCAGGGATGTGCAGAGCCTGGGTTAACACTGTCAGGGAACACCAGGGGAAAATAATGGACTAAATACAAACACTAGTTTAACTGAAAAACTCTGTAAATAGAAATTGCAAAGAAGGGCAACTTGTGTCTACGTTTCACCTCAAGATTGTAAAAATGCCTTTGATATTGCCTAATGCTTATTGTTATAAAAAGGGGGGGTCAAAAAACTGCCCTTTGCCACAGCCTTACAAGTCGGAACTCTAGCTGTGGTCTCAGCTAGCTGATAAACTTTTTGTGCCCCATGGAGATTTATTTTTTATTTTTTTATTTTTTTCCTGGAATGAAGTTTGCTCTGGTTTACTAGACTTGGGTGGTCTGTCACAATCTTTCTGTGAATCTCTCCCCCTCCCCACCATGGACCCAACATAGTGAGTGGGCAAAATAAAGGAATTTCAATGACTCACTCACAGAGATTTTCTGGGGGCAGGGAAATATCTAGTGAGCTCTGGTTAATAACAGAACACAAACTTACCTTTGGGAGGCTGCCAAGGGCATTCCACGCTTCCCACTTGGCTTTATTGACTAGGTCAAACATCCCTGGCTTAGGCACATTACAGGGTCCATCCGTGGCCTACAAAGAACGTAGGGGTGATTAATCTGGAATAGCAAGTTTTTGAGAAACTGGTCCTAGAAGCTAAGAATTCATCAGTTTTTATCCCTGATCATTTGTCACAAGCGAAAACACTGAGCCAATTTTCAAATCACAAAATTTGAAAGTCAACACTGTCTAAAGTCCTCTCTATGGGGATAGAACCAGGAATTTAGTGGTAAACTCCTGCTAACTGCTCAAAGGGCTGTAGCTGGTGCAGGTAGGGATGGAGTCTTCAGTTCCTGGTCCCCAGGAAGCATAGCTGAATGGCACTCCAGGAAATACAAAGAAATGAATTAACACCCCACTCAGTTACTTTTCAGAAGAGATTTTCAAATGATTTAAGATGTATAAAATTTGCCCGAGAGTCAGTTCATAGAGGACAGAAGAGACTTGGAGATGACAGGGTGTGGAGGCTTCGCTCATCCAAAGTCACCCACTGTAGTCAGTCATCTGGGAGGTGACAGGAAGCCTAGTCCACAAAGGGCTGCACAGAATTCCCTCTGCCAATGGGAAGCTAAGGACCTGCTGGAGATTACAGGTAGTGGCTTCTATTTCTTCCTAGTCCTTGCATTTCTCCATCCCACCTGCTGACCAGTCAGAACTAACTCCTGACAGACAGCAAAGCGTAGGGCTGTGCAGTTTCTAAACGACCTCAGTTCACATCCACTAAAAAGACTCACAGTACCCTCGCAAGCTGTGGTGTTCATGGTTAAAGTTCCTCACAGGGAAAGGATGGAGACTTAAGTAACCGAGGGCAAAGACTCATAGAACAGAGTCCAGAGGTGAAGTCAGTGTGACACTCCTATTGTCTTCTCTCCAAGAGTTATGAGGGGAAATACCCCAGACTGCTGGATATATGGAAATACAGGCGGACTGTTGTCAATGGAGAAGTTCTCTGCGGTTTCCGTGTCCACTGTTTGCCAGAGCCCTAACCCATAGGTAAACCTACCTACCCTGAGACCAGACTGTGTACTAAATCCATGGCTAGACTCTCCAGGCCAACAAAGATGCTTGTGCCAAGCATGACCGCTCATGGGCTTAAAGAATAACCCCTAGCAGCTGAGGGCAAAGTCTTTTTGGACAGTTAAAATCCTTGAATGTACATTTCCATTTTCTGAGTTAGAGTTTCTATTGCTGTGATAAAAATACTCTGACCAAAAGCAAATTGGGGAAGATAGTGTCTATTTCAGCTTCTTCTCAGCACCTCATGGAACCTTCTCAAAAATTGACCACATACTTGGTAACAAAAAAAAAAAAAACCTTAACAAATACAAAAAAATTGGAAGAACCCAATGTATCTTATCAAATTACCATGACATAGAACTAGAAGTCAAAAGCAATATTAATTCCAGAAAACCCCCCCAAAAAAACATGGAAATTAAACAGTGCTCACCTGAGTCATCAACGGGTCAAGGAAGAAATAAAGGGAGAAATTAAAGACCTTCTAAAATTCAATGAAAATGGCCACACAACATACCTAAATCTATGGGACACAATGAAAGCAGTGTTAAGAGGAATGTTCACAGCACTAAATGCCTACATAAGAAGCTTGAAATAATCCCACACTAGTGAATTAACAGAACATTCGAAAACTTTAGAACAAAAATGAGCAAACTCCCCTAAGAGAACTAGACAGCAGGAAATAATCAAATTGAGAGCTGAAATCAACAAAATAGAAACAAAGAAAACTATACAAAGAACCAATGAGACAAAGAGCTGGCTCTTCGAGAAAATCAACAAACCTTTATCCAAACTAACCAAAAGGCAGAGAGAGAATATACAAATTAACAAAATCAGAAATGAAAAGGAGTCATAACAGATATGGAGGAAATAGAGAATCAACAGGTCATATTTTGAAAACCTGTACTCCACAAAATTGGAAAACTTAAAGGAAATGTACGACGTTCTGGATAAATATCATTTACCAAAATTAAATCAAGACCATATAAGCAAATTAAACAGACCTATAACTGCTGAAGAAATAGAAACAGTCATCAAAAGTCTCCCAACCAAAAAAAAAAAAAAAAGCCCAAAACCAGATGGTTTCAGCTCAGATTTCTACAGGACTTTCAAAGTTATTCCACACAATAGAAACAGAAGGAACATTGCCAAACTCTCTTTATGAGGATACAATTACCCTGATACCCAAACTACAGGAAGACATTACTAAGCAAGAGAATTACAGACCAAACTCATTCATGAACATTGAGGCAACAATACTAAATAAAATACTGGCAAATTGAATCCAAAAACACATCAGAACTATCATCCAACATGATCAAGTCAGCTTTATCCCACAGATGCAGGGATGGTTAAACATATGAAAATCTGTCAACATAATCAACCATATAAACAAACTGAAAAATAAAAACCACATGATCATCTCATTAGATGCCAAAAAAGCTTTTGACAAAATACAACATCCCTTCATGACAAAGGTCTTGGAGAGAGCCGCAATACAAGGAACATACCTAAACATAATTCAGGCGATATACAGCAAACCAACAGTCAACAAGTCAACATCAAACTAAATGGAGAAAAATTCCCAGAGATTCCACTGAAATCAGGAACAAGACAAGGTTGTCCACTCTCTCCATATCTATTCAATATAGTTCTCGAGGTCCTATCTAGAGCAATAAGACACCAAAAGGAAATCAAGGGGATACAAATTGGAAAAGAAGTCAAACTCTCACTGTTTGCTGATGATATGACAGTTTACATAAGCGATCCCAAAAATTCTACCAAGGAACTTCTACAACTCATAAACACTTTCAGCAATGTAGCAGGATATAAGATTAACTCAAAACAGTCAGTAGCCCTCCTGTATACAGATGATAACAGGACCAGGGAAGAAATCATAGAATCAACACCCTTCACAATAGCCACAAATAGCATAAAATATCTCAGAGTAACTCTAACCAAACAAGTGGAAGACTTGTATGACAAGAACTTTAAAAACTTTTCTTTGAGGAAAGAAATTGAAGAAGATACCAGAAAGTGGAAAGATCTCCCATGCTCTTGGGTACAGTAATTAACATAGTAAAAATGGGAATCTTACCAAAAGCAATCTACAGATTCAATGCAATGCCCAGCAAAATCCCAGCAAAATTCTTCAAAGACCTCAAAAGAACAGTACTCAATTTCATATGAAAAAGCAAAAAACCCAGAATATTCAAAACAATCCCGAACAATGAAAGAACTTCTGGAGGCATCACAATCCCTGGCTTCAAACTCCACTACACAGCTACAGTACTGAAGACAGCCTGGTATTGGCATAAGAACAGACAGGAGGACCAATGGAACCAAATAGAAGACCTGGATATCAATCCACATATCTTTGAACACCTGATTTTTGACAAGGAAGCAAAAAATATCAAATGGAAAAAAAGAAAGCATATTTAACAAGTGGTGCTGGCATAACTGGATATCAACATGTAGAAGGATGAAAATAGACCCCTATCTATCACCACATACAAAACTCAAGTCCAAATGGATCAAAGACCTCAACATAAAGCCAGTCACACTGAACCTTATAGAAGAGAAAGTGGGAAGTATACTTGAACACATTGGCACAGGGAACCACTTCCTAAATATAACCCCAGCAGCACAGACACTGAGAGAAACAATTAATACATGGGACTTCCTGAAACTGAAAAACTTCTATAAAGCAAAGGACACATTCAACAAGACAAAACGACAGCCTACAGAATGGGAAAAGAGCTTCACTAACCCCACATCAGAGGTCTGATCTCCAAAATATACAAAGAACTCAAGAAATTGGACACCAAAAGAACACATAATCTAATAAAAAAAAATGGAGTACAGACCTAAACAGAGAATTCTTAACAGAGGAATCTAAAATGGCTGAAAGACACTTGAGGAAATGTTCAAAATCCTTAGTCATCAGAGAAATGCAAATCAAAACAGCTCTGAGATTCCATCTTACACCTGTAAGAATGGCAAAGATCAAAAACATTGATGACAACTTATGCTAGAGAGGTTGTGGGGAAAAGGGAACACTTCTGCATTGCTGGTGGGAATGCAAGCGGGTACAACCCCTTTGGATGACAGTGTGGCAATTTCTCAGGAAATTAGGAAACAACCTTCCTCAAGACCCAGTAATACCACTTTTGGGTATATATCCAAAAGATGCTCAATCATGCCACAAGGACATGTGCTCAACTCTGTTCATAGCAGCTTTGTTTGTCATAGCCAGACCTGGAAACAACCTAAATGCCCCTCGACCAAAGAATGGATAAGGAAAATGTGGTACATTTATGCAATGGAGTACTACACAGCAGAAAAAATTATCAATATCTTGAATTTTGCAGGAAAATGGATGGAGCTAGAAAACATTATTTTGAGTGCAGTACACCAGACACAGAAAGACAATAATCACACTTACTCACTCATAGGTGGTGTTTAAACATAAAGCAAAGAAAACCAGCTTACAAACCACAATCCCAGAGAACTGAGACAACATAGATCTAATTTATATGGGAAGTAGAAAGTAGAAAAAGAAAAGGTCTCCTGATTAAATTGGGAACATAGGGGCTTTGGGGGAGGGTTGAAAGGGGGAGGTGCGAGGCAAGGAGGGGAACAGAGAAAATGTAGAGCTCAATAAATTTCAATGAAAGAAATAAGTATATAATAAAAAACCACCAGGACAATCACACAGAGACACTGATGCTAATCACCTAGTAGAAATGATAAAAATAATAAATGATAACACAGAAGTCCAGGCTGGCTGACATAGGAGTGAAGTATTTATTCTATAAACTTTAGTTTCTCAATGATTACAAAAATTGTCAAACATTCACAAATGCATGAGTTACAATATCCAGTTAACAGTTATTAAATTTTACCTTATATGCTTCACCTGTTATCTTTTTTGTTCTTAATTATAATTGGTTTCAAACATCCCAAACGCAACATTATTCCACCCTTAAATACTTACTTTCCATTTCCCCGGAACACCAACATTTTAGTATATAAACATGGCATCATTAACAATATCCAGGATACCACTAAATAATAGTTAGTAAAACTCAGTTAATATTCAAATTTCCCCAACTGCCCTGAAACACCTTTTCAGTAATTACTCCTCCAGGAAGGACTCCAAAGCAGAGGCCCAAACATGTAAACGTGAATGTGAGTGTTCTTTCTTTCAAATCTCTTTTTTTCTGGAGAGAAGCAGAGAGGCAACTCTGTGCTTTGAAAGTATATCAAGACCCAACCTAAAAAGCAAACCTAAACAAAGCCGGCATCACAAACCACAAAGGGTGACAGCCACGCAGCCCAACCATACAAAGCTGCCTGTCAGAAACATATCAACTTCAGAAATTATTTGTTCAAAATGTGTTTAAATCACATCTGACCTCAGCCTATTACCTGCTTATACAGCGCGTAGAGTTGCAGCTTCACTTGGTTTCCTGGGTCCTTCTTCAAGAGTTTCACTTGGTTCATTGCATTTTCAAAGTCCTGCTGACTGGCTCTCATCTTTGGTCTGCCCAAGTGCACCTGAGCCACTGGGAATCTAAAGACCTGTGGGAGACTACAAACAATGGTTTCTGTTTTTTCCCAGCTCTTCCTTTCTGTAGCAGAATTACCGATTATCGGTCCCAAGCCCTATTAATCAGAATGACGTGCTTATCTACAATATTTTCTCGAAGTCAGCAACTTCCCACAGACTGGTACAAACTTTTTCAAATAACGTGTAGGTTTTGCCTTTTGAGAAAGTCACTCATGCCACCACCGCTTTACTGCAACCACCAGGCTCCAGGCTTTGGTCCTGGAGCGCAATTTCTTTGGGGTGTTTCATTTGGGTCGTTCTAACCACCCACTTCTCTGAATAGGTTTTGAAAACCACGCTGGTGATAACGGATTGCGCGTGTGCAGCGCTCAGAATACAGGCAATCTTGGTCCCAGTGCGGCCTTAGAGCCTTAGGAAGTTCCGGGCTTGGCCTGCAGGCATGGGCGCTGCCCAGAACCGGAGCTCGCATCTCTCCCTGCTTGGCAGAGGTGGGCAGAGCGCGTCCATTCTTACCCTTCTGGCTTCAGCAGAGGAAGGACATTCGAGGTCCCTATTTAGAGCTCTCTCGCTGCGAAACCGCCAAAGGAGTATCCAGCAGTCCTGCTAGCCAGACCAGTTGACAGAGCGGGCGGCTCCGCGGGCGGACGCGGGCGGACGACAAACCCCGCTGGCAACTTTGGGCCAGAGAGCCGAGGCTGCCGGCTTACCTCGGATACCAGCACCGCAACACTCTCCAGGTCGCTGCCGCCATAGCTAGATGCTCAAGTCAATCTGATCCCTGAGGCTGAGGCCCAGCTGAAATTTCAAGACGCGACCGGGAGAGGGCGGAGCCAAATGAGAGCTCGGGGGTGTAGGCGGAGCCAGGGGGTGAGCTCGGGCGCTGAAAGGAGCCCGGCAAGGTTGGGAGGACTGAGCGGGGCTAGAAAGAGAGCTCTAGGCAGGGGTGTGGCTGACCTCTCCTTCAGAGCCTGAGCTCTGAATGGGCGGGTTTCGGGGAGGAGCCCAGAATTTCTGGACCAGGTCCAACTAGGTACATAGGTGACTGGCACAAGACTGGCAAAGACTGCTGGAAACACCGGTATGGAGGCAGATCGCTGGGCTCTGGGAGTTTTAATCAGAGATTCTAAAGCATGTTCATTTAGAAACCCGATCATTTTTCAGCATGTTCAGTTAGGAGCACATTTCTGAGCACACTCAGTTTAAGGTCATGGAGCACATGTTTAAAAGATTAAATGAACAAGAATGCCCCCTGGACATGCTTATCCTGGACATGCTTATCTTGCACAATAAAGTCTAAGAGGAACACGGAAAGACACAGTACAAGTTAGATTAACGTAGGCATTTGCACTTAGCCTTGCTTAGCAGCTAACCATATTTGGAGCAGGGGCCATGTTCTGTGAACACAGTGTCTGCCTGGAGACGTGTGGGAGTGGGCAGTTCTCAATGAAAGGGAACCACTGTGAGTTGGGCAGCACTTCCTTTGAGCATGAGGATCACTGTGTCCAGGCTAAGGAGTTTGGATTCTGTGCTAAGAATTCTAGAGAGCCATAAAAGAGCTAATTGGTGAGGCTAGAGAGGTGGCTGAGTTGTTTGAGAACATTTGTTGCTTTTGCAGAGGGCCCGGGTTTGTCTTTCCTGAACCTACAGGGTGGCTCATGATCACTCATGACTCCAGGTCCAGGGGAACGGACCCCATCTTCTGACATGGGCAGGCACCAGATGCACAGATGGTGTTGCATGTGTACAGGCATGCAAAATCAACCACACATAAATAATCTGATAGATAAAGTTAAATTAAAAAGTTAAACGCATTATGTAAAAAGATTCCATTGGCATGCCTTTGCTTTAGTTCACAGAGCAGTCAGAGCTGCCCAGCACATCTCCGGAGGTTGTTGTTTCTGGACCAGAGTGAGAATGGCAGAATCCTCAAGGCCTCAGTCAGAGCTCTAATCTCCACTGTGCTGTGAGAGGACCAGGGCCTGCTTGTTCTTATGAAGACCTTGAGGGAAGGCGTCTGATTCTATTAGATCTGACCTTAGAGGCTGGTTGCAGGGACCAGAGCTGCCTAAGAAGGGATTTGATAGAGTCCCAGTCCTAGTGGTCACAAGAGCCAAGGAAATGTTTCAAACAACACTGAATCTTGGGGTCCTGCTTCACCGTATATACTCAGAATTTTGGCAGATGTTTCTTCAGATGGTGGTATGGAAGCTTTGGTTGAAGAACCTGTAAACCATTGTGACTATTTTTGTTTGTAATGTTAAAATCTCATCAGATTATGTTATTATCCTGATATATAAAATTCTAGCACATATAGTGTCAGAAATGATTTTAACTTTGTGCAAACAACAGCAAAGACTGGAGTCTGAAAGCAGTCTGATTCCCCTCTGTCTCACTGTGGGCTCCCCTCTGTGGATCTCTTGTCCTTCCACAGCTGTTTCTTGGCTTTATCTCCCCCTCCCTTACCCCACTCAGTCTTTCCTCAGGTCTCACTGTTTCTGCATTGCTGTAACTTGGTTAGCCCTGACTGGCTTTGCTCTGCTTCCTACCTCTGCAGCCTGCTTTCCTCCTGCTCTCTGACTGATCTCCATAGCCTATACTGTAAATCTGACAGCTGTGTTCGAACTGTGGCCCAGAGTTCTCGTTTGGGAAACATCTCTGAGTTCCTGTGTCGATGATATTTGGGGACAAGACCTTTGAGTCACTAAGGTGAGACATTAACAAACAGCATGAAGGCCCTGGCCAGTTGCCAGAACTTGACAATTAGACATCTCAGCTTCCAGAATGCTGAACTCGTTTCTGTTGTCTGTAATTTACCCAGTTGGCGGCTTTTGGTTGTAGAAACATAAAATGGACCAAGACACTGACATGAATCATGACAGTCTCTTGATCCTTCCTCTGTCACTGGAATCTTGTGTGGGTCCCTTTGCCTAATAAGTAACCCAAGCCTCTTAGTGTAACACATAAGGAAGGCCTTTGAGATTTGGCCCATAATGTCTAATCATCTCTCCTGCTTGCCCTTTCCATTCATTCATTCACCCCTTCACTTATCCATTATGTTTGCTTTTCATGAGATAGTCTCACTGTGTATCAAACATATGGTGACCCTCTTACTCCTGCCTCTTGAGTTCTAGGATTATAGGCTTGCACTATGGTATGCAAGCTCTTTATTTTATATTTTAAACCATTTGTTTTGAGGCAAAATCTCACTATAAAGACCTTACTTGAACTTGTGCTGATCCTCCTGTCTCAGCCTTGGATTACAAGTAGACGTCCCTGACTGTTCTTTCCATTTGGAAATGGGTGTCCAGTCTCTCTGGGTCTGTGCAGCCCATGCTTTCTCCATCCAGACACTGTTTGACATGAGAAGTCTCTGACCCCCTTGTTGGCTCTAGTCTCCTGCTGTGATCCTACTCTTGAGAGCCAGCCTACTTCCTAAGACAGATGTCACTAAGTTCCCTTCAGACTAGCAGTTTGTTCAGCCCTCACCTGCCCCGTATTGTCATGTCCCATCTCTGGGCACCCTGTTTGACAGGAAAGACTGGCTGTGGTCATTTGTTGTAGGGAGGTGGACTGACCAAGAACTCTTTCAGAGGCTCTGATGAAAGGACAACAGGAACTTTAGTTCTGTGTCCGTGGTAAGGAGTGTGTAATGGAAAAATTAAAAATGTTGCAGGATCCCCAGCAGCAGCAGGCATCAGAAATGCTGCAGCTTCCCAAGCAGTGGCAGCTGGCTAGGTGGTGGTAGGCAGGGGGCAGCACGTCCAGAGAGCTGCCAATCCCAGGCAGGGATAGCACAGGAGCCCCTGTGGCAGATCTCCAGAGGTGGCTGGTCCCCAGGAGTGAGTCATGTGGCTACCACAGGCGAGACACAGATGGATATGCATGCCATGCAGAGTGAGGTTAGATATTTCTTTAGTGGTTATGGGAGAAGGGGAGAAGAGGAAATAGAGAGAAAGAAGGGGGTGGAGAAGGGAGAGACAGAAGCTGCCTCTCTGAGAGGGAAAGGGAAAAGAGAGAGAACTCAGGCTGAATGCTGAAGATCAGTCTGTCTCAGCAGACAAGGGAGGGAGTGCGTGTGGCTTGTCACTTAAAGAGACAGAACAGATCATTACAGAGTGAACTTGGCAAGGCCAGTCTGAGGCTGGAGCCATTGCCTTGAAGGAGTGAAGATTGCGATTTCTGGCGATGTGACTCTTCCCTCTGGGTTGTGAGTATCACCTGTAACACAGCTGATGAATGTCTGATGTATTTTGTGTTCTTTCCCCAACATTATCTGATCTGGCTCTCTGCTGATTTTGGTGATTATCCCCAGCTAATGGTATATAAGATGCTGAACTTCTTAATAAACTTCCTTGTATAAGTCGTCAGCTCATACGAGACATCCTAGCCCCAGGTATTGCTTTTGTCCTCTTCATTTTTCACTCCTGGTCTCCTAGTCAACACCTTGCTCTCTGGGACTCTTATTCCTGAATGTTTGGGTCAGTTTATTGAGGGCAAATGAACTGTTGAAAATTTCTGTCTAGCCTGTGTGTTTCCACATCTGATGACAACTTCGGGTCAATTGTCACCTTTGGGTACGCTGTCAGACGGTGTTAACTGACTTCATGCTCACAGGCATTTCTTTTTCAGTGAGTCACAGCGCAGGCAAAGGAATTGGACTTTTGCCAGGTTCCTATGATGAAAGCACCAGGGAAAGTGGGACCGGGAAAATCATATTCACATATAATTGCAGGGGGAAGGCACCTATTATGACTTGATTAGTCTCTAAAGAGTCTCAGTACCCTTTGTTCTCCCCATTTCCTGCTTCAGTTTCATGATCCTGAAAAGAGGTTTTGCTTTTGTTTCCACAGGAAATGAGAGGCTGTGGATTCCTTCTGGATTAAGAAAAATCAAGTTTGATCAAGGAAGACCCCTCTGAGAAATCATCTCCAATAGGAGCGAATGACCCAGATGATATAACATTTCAAAGGACCTCTGTTGGAGTTTCCTCTGAGTTCTACATCCAGAACAATTTCAAGACTGCTGGCTGGGATGACCAAGACTCGCAGAATTTTCAAGTCAGGACTTGACCATAATCTTAAATTTTCTTTAGGTCCCTATAAGATTATCAGTGCCCCCAATCAGCAGAAAGTAGCCAGGAAAACTATGCCCACATTTCCCCCCAAAAATGGACTATGGATATTTTCCTTTGTTTAGAATGTTGGTTACAAGTTGTTATGGATAATGTTCAGGAGAAAAGCTAAAAAAAGAATAGTAAATTCAGAGTTATTGTTTTTATTTTTTTTAAAGGGATAGTGATGTAGGACAATGGTCTTGTACCCTGTAAAGATTAGTCAGTTGTATTGTAGCCAGTCAGGAAGTATAGGCAGGGTGACCAGGCAGGAAGTATAGGCAGAGTGACCAGGCAGGAAGTATAGGCAGGGTGACCAGGCAGGAAGTTATAGGTGGAGCAACCAGATTAGGAGAATTCTGGGAAGAGAAAAAAACTCAGTCTGCAGTTGTAACCCAGATGAAGAGCAATCAGGATGAGAATGCTTACCTGATAAAGGTACCAAACATTGTGGCAACAGTGGCAAGAATTATGGGTTAATGTAAGATATAAGAGTGAGTTAATAAGAAAGCCTGAACTAACAGGCCAACCAGATTATAATTAATGTAGACCTCTGTGTGTTTCTTTGGGACTGAATAGCTGCGGAACTGGGCAGGACAGAAACCTCTGTCAACATACCTCTGCCCAATATTTTTATGATTTTATTGTCAGAGAAAGAACTCAGAGGAAACAATATATGGAATTTGGAGAGAGCATTTATTATGAAGCTAAAATATTCAAGGGGTGAGTATGCGTATTCTCAGCATGAATCACTAGCTTTAGGCATCTATGGGCAAATTTTAATGGAATATTAATGA